GTACTAATTGCAAACCTTTACATGAGGGGCTTCCCCTCCCAAAATGCTCTTACATCCTTCAGGGCCAAGCCCGAACTTTCTTCGTGCAGGCTAAACGGCAGTAACACGCAGTCAGTCGGACATATCACTCACCGCGTCTTGGGCATCCTCGGAGGCATCACTGGCATCGTCAGCATTGTCACCACTGCCGCCAGCATCTCCATCAGCGCTAGGCTCGTCCATAATGTCGCCTTTATTGGTGCCCACGACCACGCCATCATCACCAGACGCAAAGGCTCTGACGAGGGCGTCCATGTTGTCCTCCACCCACCGCGCCAGGTCGCCCCGGACGGAAATGGGCACGGGTGCGATGGCAGCGTCGAAGTCGAAGTGGGGGTCCCTGTCCTGCAGATGGCTAAAGACGCGGGAGAAGGCATGCCCGAGCAAGGCTCATCTCCTCTCTTCGACAAGCCAATGGGACCTCTCGGACCGGTTCTCCAGAAGCGTCACCACATCGGTGAAAAATTGGAGGTTTCCAGCGTAGTTGACCTCGTACGGCTCCCTAGTGGCAGCCTCACAGACATAGCCCAAAGCTGTGTTGCCCCTCTCTCGGAGCGTTTGAAGCATGGGGGCATGCACATGCTCCAGAACCCGCCACCGACAGAGCACGTCTTCACTCCGCTGTGTGACGGCCTCGGCGTCATCGACCCTCTACTGAAGAAGAAGCTGCTCGGCCCGGGAAGAGGACAGCTCCGCCTGCGCCGCGCTGAGGGCGGCTGCAGAGGAGTCCGCACTCCGCATCACTTCGGTCAGTTTGGCCCTGAGGGCTGCAGTCCTGCCATCGGCCTCGACCTTGATCAGCCCCAACCTCGTCTCGTATTCGCGCTCGAAGGCCGAGCGAGCTTCCGCCACGCGGCGATCGACTTCTTCCTGGGCTCGGGCTTCGCGCTCGGCAACGTCATCCTCCGCCCGGGCCACCAGGTGCTCCCTCGTCTCCAACCGCTCAAGGTCAAGGTTGCGCTCGGCGGCCTCCAGCGTCAGCACCTCCTTGCTCTTCAGAAGTTCCGCCCGGTCAACAAAGGCCACCCCCATCGACTCAAGGGCCGCCTAGCGCAATTCCACTTGCTGCTCCAGGGAGTTGCTCCAGGCTTGTAGCTCCCGTGCGCGCTCCTCCGCATCCTTGCGCCGCCGGTCTGCCTCCCGAGCCTCCTCAACGGCCAGGGAGCAGGCCTCCCGTGAAGCTGCCAGCGACGCTTCAGCCTTCGCGTTGTCAAGATCACATTGATGACGCGCGAGGGCGACAGCTACCTTTAGTTTGCGCCTCTCCTCAGCAAGGCGCAAACCTTCGGCCTCGAGGCGCGCGTCCTCGTCAGCAAGCTCTGCCCTGATCCGGCTCACCGCATCCGCCGCCCCCTGGAGGAACTCTTCAAGAAGGGCGCGCCGCTCCCGAGCGCGACTGAGCACGTCTTCTACATCACCCTCTTCCACCGGAGCATGCAAAGGGCCCCGGGGCAGCTGGCCTCCTCTCGACGCGGGGCTGGGGGTGGCACCCTAGCCATCGCCGAACTGACCTCTTTGGGAATCCGGCCCAGCGTCGGCCCGCCCACAGAGGAGGAGCCAAAGACGGACTTCAACCATTCACCATCAATGATCAGAGGAGGAACACGGGGCAAGCCAGATGTGCCCCAGGAGGATTCATGAAGAAAGGACAGCGGGCGCGCAGGCTCGAGGTGCCCTATGGAATGGACCACTCCACCAACTGGTCCGACGGTAGGGGTGCCACTCGAGCTCGGCGAGCCCAGAGCCAACGGAGAAGGCGAAGCTTGGGGGTGGCTCCTGGGCTGGCTCGGCAGGTTTCATAGGGCAGGGCCTAAAATGGCCACAATCAGTCGCAGGGATAGCAAAGAGAACAGGCAAGGGAAGAAGAAGACTTACTCGTCCATGGCAAAGTACTTCCTGCGCTTCAACAAGCGGCAAGGGCGGTCGTTGCTACCCAAGGCCTCCTTCCCCTTGCGGAGAGCCTCGAAGTCTACGTGGAACCGACCCAAGCGCTCGGTGCACGGGTCGGCCCCTGGTGCGGAAGAAGCGTCAAGGTGATCAGCGCTGGAGGAGTCAGCCTGGGGGGCGACGTCAGGCGTCGCCTCGCGAGGAACGGCTGAGGGCTCGGGAGCCCCGGCCTCAGGAACCATAGGCCGCAATTCCGCACCTGCCACCGCTCCAGGGCGGGCCTCGGGAGACGCCACCTTCAAGACTTCTCGCGGCGTCGGCGCCTCGACATCGGACGCCTCAACTCTCGCCAGTTCTCGTCTCCCCGCCCTGTCGTCCGAGGAAGGACCGCTGTGGGCGGCAGGAGAAGCAACCACGGCGGCTGGGTTCTCACGGGGCCCCATGAAGCCAGCATGGCACAGTCCCCACTCGTCGAAGCTGGGAATCTGCCTCACAAAATCGGCCCTGCCGGAGCAAAGATACGAGAGGATGCCATTACTCCGAAGGCTGCCTGGGGAAGGATCGCCAGTCAAGACCTTGAGCACCGTCTGCAGCACTTCAGACGCCAAGTTCTCCTCCTGAAGCCGCATGCGGTCTCTATGCCCCGTGAAGTCCCACATCCAGCGAGAGTGGCGCTGGAGAGGAGCAATGCGACATTGGAGGAACTCCTTCACTACCTTGGGCGCTGTCACATTGAGCGCCCTCAAACTCTGGAGGCGACGCCAGACGAAGGTGAGCCGGGGGCTCGCGAGCACCTCGTGGTCCCAACCCGCGTGAGGAACAGCAGGCGAGGTCGGGTGCCAGAGCAGAGGGTTGGGCACTCCAACGTCCACGTATAGCCACCGCTCTCTGAACCCGGCCTCATGAGGAGGAAGGGCGAGGTCGATCCCTGAAGCGGCCGTCTCTGGCACGGCGAAGAAGCTCACGCACCCTGAGCACAGAGTGGGGTCGCTCATGCGCAAGGAAAACAAGTGGCGCAGCAGGGCAATGGAAGGAGGTATGCCTATCATCGCCTCGCAAACAAAAGCAAAGACAGCCAGAAGGGTAATGGACTCCTGCCCGAGGTGCATCATATGGATCTGATAATGGGAGAGCACCGCATTGTAGAAGGCGGAAAAGGGGGGAACCATACCCACCCATAGAGCATTGGCAAAGAATCGGACCTCCGTGACGATCCTATCAAGGGAGAGCATGGGACGCGGGCCAGGCCGTGGTCCTGCTGCACTCATTGAAGATAGTTGCAAGGGCGGAGCGTACCTTGTCCAAAGCTTCTGGATTGAGTATGATCGACCGGGCGATGGCGGGGGTCGAGGCTAGAGGTGTGAGGGGCGAAGGCGCGGGCTTATTTCCCCTTCCCTTCTTCGTCGGCGCCATGGCGGTGAAGGGGAGGAAGAACTTAGGCCGGATTGGCGGCGGAGGCTGGAGCTCAAAGAAGAAGGAAATATAGGAGGCGGGCAAGCAGCGGAAAGGAGGAACGACTGTGTGCAACTGCGGGTCTGCTTAGCCGGGCGCGCAACTAGGAGTCGTGGGGAAGCGCAGACGCCCACGTCCAATCAATCGCCATGCGGCGCTTCGTGCTCGCCCCTTCGCTTTCCTACCAGGCCAAGCCGGGCGCGCCATGGGCCCGGGGGCTACTGTCGGCGTTCTGGGAACGGGGGTCCCCATACTTGCCTGCCTGTGGCCTGTGGCGTGGCTCAAGTGGGGGCCCAGCGCGGCCCATCTTCATCAGCTCAAGCTCAAGACCCTCGCGAGGGGCCAAGCCTCGCGGGGTGGACGACAGGAAGCTTCCTCAAAGGCAGCCTCATCAGGCAGGCTCGCGAGGAGGCGGAGAGATCAAGGCAGGGGTACCTTGCGAGGAACCCGTGATGCAAGCCATGATGATCGAGACCATGCAGGTACCAGGTGGGCGCCGGCCTGTGCAGTGTACTTGTGTCCCCTTTGGTGCAAAGGGGGCAAGCACAGGCCAAGGTATTAGGCAAAGGTTGCCATTCCGGTGTAACGAGACCAAGACCAGCAGAGCGGCAGGACGGAGGTCACCGTGGAGCCCAAGACGGCGTCATCACCAGTACTTTTGGCAGCCGAAGACCACCTTTGGTCAGGATAACTTGTACTACCTATTCCCCTTCAAAATGGCCAATTGTTGGTGCCTTTCCCGCTCATTATTTGGGGAGAGGCCCGGGGCCTCTATAAATAGAGCTAGCCACCACAGAGTAGGGGGGCGGCGGGAAATCTGGTAGAACCCTAGCAGAGAGAAAGAGAGGCGACTGAACCCACCCTAGCATTTCATCGCCCCAGCTCAAGAACACCTCTCGCGAGGCTATTCTTCCTTTGTACCGATCCTCATCAGCCCCTGAGGCAATCCACCACACCACACACTGAAGTAGGGTATTACACCACAACGGTGGCCCGAACCAGTATAAACCTTGTGTCCCTTGTGTTGTTCGTTGTTTCCAGCTCAAATCACGCGAGGAGATTGGACGCAGATTGGTAGGGGAGAGATCTCCGCGCGCACCCCAGTGTTCGAACCTCAAGGGTCTACCGGAACCCGAAATCCGACAGAAATAAGTCGGGCTTAATTATGATACCGAATGTGAATACCCTACATAAGCACTGTTCATATACATAATTAAATAGGCTACTCTTTGAGGGCAAATTGATCTTTATTTTAGGATTGTTTGGTTGTTTAGTTATTGCACATATGTGTGCACTCCAACTCTGAGGATGCATTTGATTCTTCTATTCAGGTAGTCTAATGTCTAATGTTTATGTGTCAGTTCCATTTAACCAATACTCTCTCGAGCATTATGAAAATCCTGCTTCATATCATATCTAATTCGATTGGTCTACTATGTGTGTCTTGGGGATCCATATCTAAATTCTATACTCCCAGAGAAGACAGAGCAGTGTTAGGAAACTTCTGTGGTGGTATGCTTTCAGAGACAAGACATGCTTTGATACAAAAAAGATCTCATTTCTTGCTATGCCAAGAAGTGCTTTGATATAATTTCATTTTTGCGTGTTTGTCTGGTTTGTAGGTAGAACACCTCCGCTGTTTGCCAAATACCACAATGGGGGTACTGTCGAGTATCTTCTTGATCATGGTGCTAATCCAGACAAAGCAAATAACGACGGGGCTTTCCTGTTACATTATGCCGCTGAATTAGGTCCAGCTCTATATCTCTGTTCTGCATCTCTAAGTTGCAAATTGTTTTGTGTTATCTTATTCAGAGCTATTTGCCTTTGTTTCATACAGTAATTTACCAATATTGTTCTTTGCTAATAAATTATCTTCAAACACGATGGTTAAGTTCTTGTAATGGGTCTCTCTGTTTGGAAGTACTGTTAGGATGATCTCCATCGTGTGGGCCCAATGGCCCACCGGGCCCTTAGATCCGCGCCCTGATCGGGGGCGCTCAACCCACTATGGTTGATGGGCCCCTGTCACCTGCACTATATAAAGAGGTGGGGGTCGGCGGCTCGGATAACGACGTTCGTCGTGATGCCGTACACCCCACCTACATCCCCTACCGATCTAGGGTTAGTGCAGTACTGACGGGAAGCACCGCCACCACCCCGCTACTCTCTACCATCACCAACACCATGCCCAGCACCGGGAGCTCCTCGAGCCACAAGGAAAAGGTAATACCTATCACCACTACCGGAATCCCATGCTCACTGGATCAACAGATTCTATCAATGGTATCAGCCCAGGTTGGCGTTTGGATTTTTGGTAGCAACAGAAATTCCCCCCTCCCCAAAGAACCCTAGAACAGGGCAGAGTAAAGAAAACAAAAGTACATCGGAGAAGGCCTTGGGCCGCCGGCAAAGAGCGCCTCCGTCATGGCTCCGCCTGTTCCTCTTGATCCCGTCGCGCATCGGCAAGCCGAGGCGACAGGGACGAAGAACCACCCCACACGGGGCAAAGAGCACCGCAGCCAAACCGCTCGACGGCGGCGGGCTCACCACAAAGGGAACGTGCAACCGGCGAGGGGGATGGCAATGGCGCCGCTGCAGGACAGCACCACAACTCTGCCGCAGGCGCAGCTGGGATCTAGGGGCGCGGCGAGCTCGTGTTCTCTCCCTCTAGCTCGGGCGGTTGTTGGAGGAAAGGCAGGGGAAGGGGAAAGAGTGGCGCGGCGCGGTCGCATCTCGACGCCGTCGCCGGCGACCGGCGTGGCCGGACTCGCTGTTGCGCCATCTGTGGAGAGCACAGAGGAGGGCTCGACCTCGCGTCTCTGCCACTGGAAACGGAGAAAGAGGGAGGAAACAAGGTGAAAGGGAAGGAGAAGGAGGGGGGAGGGGAAGAGGCACACGCTCCGTGGCGGTTCATCGCCGTCGCCGGCGACTGCCGAGCCCCGACACCCCATGAGGGACAAAGGCGAGCGGCGCGTGCGGGAGGGGGGGAATGAGTGCTAGGGTTTTTTCCCCGATGCCTGGAGCCTTGTTTGGTTCGGCCGATCCGCGCGCCGGACCGTCGGATGAAATCCGACGGCCAGGCCACAAACCCTAACCCGGCTAGGCCTTTGGGCCGAAAGGGGGAGCCGGCTGGGCCCAAGCCACCAGCAGCCGCGCGCGTTGGACGAGGCCGCAGCCACGTGCTGAGCCGAGGCCGCAACAATGCGCGCTGGGCTCTGCTGCAGCTATTTTCTCCTCTCTTTTTTTCAGAAAATAGAAAAGTTACTGTTGTTAACAAAAAATTTATACAGTTTTAGTTCTTTTTTCTATTCTGATTTGTCTAACGAAAAATCTGTTTAGAGAATAGAAAAGTAAAAGAAATGAATCTGAAAAGTAAAAAAAATCATGAATTTTTATTTGTTCAAAGAAAAGTTTCTGTAAAGAATAAAAAGTTCATGAATTTTTTATTCATGTTTTTCCGTTAGAAATAAAAATAAAAGTGCTTTTTTAAAAGTGAATAGAACTAAAGTAAAAAAAATTGTTGCTTCTCAAATGCATTTTTGAACCAACCGATTAAAATTGCTTAGAGAGTAAAAGAGTACAAGATTGTTTCTGAATTGAATATTGTAAAAATTTCGCTGCAAAGTAAAAGTTTTATCCTCCAATTAAATTGGAACCAATGGGAAAATTTAATTGGAAGAACTATTCTTAGTAATGTTTTTCCCCTGTGGGCGAAATAAGATGCAGATAGTTTTCGCTATGACAAAAGAAAGATATTTGTTTTAAAGTTAACATATGGTATTGTTATTTTCTGACCAACGTTGATGATAACAGTACTATAATTCTATGAGCCTTATGTTCAAAGATTAAATCTCTGATAAATTTTGTATCAAAGTGATCAATTTTCAGAGAACAGATAAAGTTAAAAAAATGTCTTGAGCTAGAGAAATGTATATTTCTTGTTTCCGCTGCAATAAAGTTGATGATGATGATTATTTCTTAGAAAAGTTGTTTAATAGACATACACATTGTTTATGAGCTATATGCATTATTTCCATTTCCACCAACCGGTGATATGGAATTAATGTAGAAGGATGATGTTTTATTCTAATTCTGCCCAACGGTGATTTAGAATATAAAAGAATTTTTTTAAAAGTTTAATGTGCATATTTTTTAACCAGACTGACATGGGGTTATTTTTTATGCTCATTATTGTTGATTATTGGCTAAGTTTTCTCAGACTAAAAGTTTTCCATGCTTTCATTCGTGAAAGCGAATGTCTTGGTACTTGTGACCCGAAAGATGACCAAGAAAGGTCATAACGTGAGAGAGTATGTTCTCTCTAAAGAATGGCTTCAAAAGAAAAGAGATAGATCATTGAGAGTCTTGGTTGATGAATGTCTTTCATGTACTCTCTATGAAGAAGGTTTTTCAGTCAACATGATTTGAAATGAAACAAGCAACATGCGTGTTTAATTTGACCAACGTCGGATCAAGCATGTGTGTCAAAGAGCATTTGGGTTTATTTCTGAATTTGATGATTGAATATGCAGTGAAAAGAGCCAATTCTGGCATTTATGTCCCTTACGGGGAATTACCCGCATAGCGGGAAAAGATGATTATGATAAAACCCGCATGGCTGGAAAAGTCTGGGAAAATACCTGTGTAACTGGTAAAGTTGACATAGTATTATGTCAAAAATCATGTATGGCGGGAGAAATGTAGGCAAAGGACTTATCATGTATGACAGAAGAAAGATATGATGACTCATGTGTGTTTAATGTGTCCCACTCTGGGAGAAAAGTATGGAGTAGCTATTATGCTTTCCTAGTATCGACCATACACCTTATGTGTAACGGTCATTAAGCACTCAATAAATCCAAAAAGAATAAAAGTTACAGACGAACCTAAAGATAAGAATGATATGCAAGTGTGACTTGCAAAAGTACTAATGATAAAGAACTATTTTGAGTTTTCAAAATGGAATGAGGAATAAGGAAAACGTACTCCCATACCAGTTAACAGATAACTTCATTACATATGAAGTAATCAGATAAATGAGGTAGATACTCAAAGTTTCCTCAATTCACAAGAGTTGTGAATGGTTTTTCGAAATTGTGGCAGAAAAGTTCTTACCACATTTCAAGGGGGAGAAAGAAATATGAGATATCCATTAATGAAGAATGTGATCGTCTGGGGGAGTACGACGATTATAATAATACCACTAAAGAAAAGAAATAGCTGTATTCCTGAATCTTTTACAGTTCCGAAAACAGACTAAGGAATACTAAGACGGTGCTTAAAGTGCCATAAAGAAGAAAGTTTTACCAGAATAAACCCAACCAATAAAGTTTAAAGATACGCCATTTCTAGTGAAGATGGAGTAATCTGGGGGAGCCTGTTGTATGATCTATACAACACCTAATGTTAACTCTATAAAGGATGAATGAGTACACATGGATCTTGTGACACAGGTCCCTGTAAAACCTATTGCCTCTTGGAAATAAAAGACTAGAATTAATTTGCCTCTTGGCAATGACAGAGCAACAACAGCCCCATATGAAAGATGTGCCAGTACCTGAGACACAGATGGTCTCAAGGAATGAGAAAATCAGATACTTCTGATTACTATAAAGTCTATGTTAGTGAAATTCAAATCGAGGTTGATCCCACCTCATTTAAAGCGCTCAATCGAACTTAGAGAAGTGTCTGTTTGTCTAAATGATAAGAGACTATGTGAGATGAAATAAAATTGGTGAATCCCGAAAATGTTTGGGACTCATAAGTAATTTCCAATGGATCATAAATAGTAGGTTGTAAAAGGTCTACAAGGTCAATGTGACTCCAAAGGAAATATGTAAAGGTGTAAAGCGTGACTTGAATTGAAAATTTTTGTGCAAAGAGAATGAACAAATTACAATGAGTGTTAGTGGCACATCATGTCCGACATCATGATCTGAGTTACATCAGATGAATGTAAAGAACACAAGGGATACGTCTTCAAGAAGTTTTTTATGGACTAGAGCAAGTCTGTAGACAGTTGCATTTAAAGTTTAAAGAATCAGATGATATTTTGGGTTAAAGAAAATGGAAGGACAATTGTATTCATGCAAAGTTATAGAATGGGAAATTCATTTCCCAATCTTGTGCATGTGGATGATGTCCTACTTGCTAGTGGTGATGTCAATCTACTTCAGGAGGAGAAAAGAAGTTCTTGTCCTCAAAGTTCAAAATTGCATTTCTCGGAGCGTCTCTCGTTATAAATATCGATATTCACCAAGAAAAGAATAAAACGGGGTATTAGGAATGTCGCATGGACATGCTAACACAGATCTCTAAAGTATGCATGCAAGAAAACCTACGCATGTTCTTATAGTTAAGGGTAATGGAACTGGAAACTATGGTGTTCCAAAAGTTGATGAGAAAAGATTGAAAACGGATATGGTACCATATGCTTCAGCTGTTGGAAGCTCAATATATTACCCTGACACAATTCATGGATCCGGGTTGTTTTGGCAATATCCAGTTCATATATAGATCACTGGAATGGAGTCAAAGATATCGGCCTCATGCTGAAAGAAATAAGTTCTCTCAAAATATTGTGAGTACAAAGACAGGACTTGTGAAATGTATAGCGAAATCCACAATTGTCGCTAACTTTCATACTTGGAGGTTTTTGTGTGGAAAAGCTCCAAAGAATGAAACAATTATCATCAATGTGATGCAAAGATATTTTATAGCTTGATATGAGGCTGAGGGACAGGCAAAATGGTTAAGGAGACCTGTACCCGGAGTTACTAATGGTTGACAACAGCGATAACCATTTTAAGTTGTTCGCTCCTATGACAACGAGTCAAGTGTTGATGCCAAACACACTGACACAGAGTTATGCGTTGTAAAGGAGAAAGTCCGGAATTATGTAGAAATGCTTGAAGCATAAGAGCAACAGACAAGTGTTTGTAGATCTGCTTATTAAAGGCTTACCGCTCAGTGTGTTCGGAGAACACACAGTCGACATGGGTTTTATGGTATAGTCTAAGATTTCCGGACAATAAAGGGCCTAAGGTTAAAGAATTTGTTTCAAAACAGAGAGGTGCGTTGTGGCTGTCTGATTCTATCGGCAATTGAGCTATGACGATGAAACATGTTCTATGTATTGATCTGTTATGAAACGAGTAAAGTAAAAATATAAGGTCAAAAGTAAAAGGGGAGATCAAGGGGGAGAATGTTAGGATGATCTCCACCGTGTGGGCCCAACGGCCCACCGGGCCCTTAGATCCGCGCCATGATCGGGGGCGCTCAACCTACTATGGTTGACGGGCCCCTGTCACCTGCACTATATAAAGAGGTGGGGGCCGGCGGCTCGGATAACGAGGTTCATCGCGATGCCGTACACCCCACCTACATCCCCTACCGATCTAGGGTTAGTGCAGTGCTGACCGGAAGCACCGCCACCACCCCGCTACTCTCTGCCATCACCGTCACGATGCCCGGCACCGGGAGCTCCTCGAGCCACAAGGAAAAGGTAATACCTATCACCACTACCGGAATCCCATGCCCACTGGATCAACAGATTCTATCAAGTACATGTTGTTTTAGACTCATTAGGCTGTTTGAGAATGCGCGGCATATTAGGTTTCTAAGTAGAGGTATGGTGGTATTTCCTGATATACTCTTAGCTGTACTAAATAATAATCTTGCACACGCTTCTAGTCAAAGTCATCTATATATTTATGTTTAGCCATTAGCCGAAGTTCAACCGTGTGCATGCATGTATTGCATCAAATCAGGGCTCTTTGTGTAGCATAATTACTAATATTTTAAATACTTCAACATGGATATAGTGGCTTAGCTGTTGTGCATGTGCAATATCCTAAAATATCACCTCATTGGGAAGTCAAATAACCTAATACATGTCACTATCATTCCAGTCTTACATGGTTGTGGAGTGGCAATAATCTGGTAACTGACTTAATAACCTGGTTACCAAGTGGCTCTAACCTGGCAATTACTAACGAAAAGAAGTTATCGAAACATATGTACGTGAGATCTAGTTTCGACGGTATCATCACAGCAAAGCCAACAATGAGCACAGAACGTCAATCAGACACACGATTTGGGAGATAGAAGTTCTTGAAAATTCAAAAAAAATGTGCCTTTCTGATTTCATCTTTGCATGCATTGGTCTTTTCGTATTGTGCATGTGGCAGCGAGTAACCATGCTGTACATCATGGTCTTATCTTATTGAATATCCTCTTTGATGGGAATTAGGCCCCATCCCTAAATACTCCTATTAAAAGTTTGGGTTTTTATCATTTATGCCACCGGTTGTGTTTCGCTACTCAGTTTAACTATGAAAATTTTGGCTTTGACTCCTTCCAATCCGAACAAGTCCTCATTGGGCTTTTTTGTAGCACCTGATCAAGGCAAACACAGGTACAGGATACATCAGAAACAAAATAAATTGTCACGAAAAAATACCTATCATCTTACTTGGTTTCTCATCTTACATTCTTACATAGAGATAAAAATACGTTGCATACTAACTAGATCCATAAAACCAGAATTGTTGTGTTTGTGAACCCATCTCCTGTTACTAAATTGGAGAGGTCCATGCTGCACTTTGGGAAGTAGGAAGTAGCAAACTGTGAACCTGATGAATCATGAATCGAGTAGCCATGTTGTAGATCATGGTTTATCTTACTGAATACCCCCCTTGATGGGAATTAGGCCCCATCCCTTAATACTCCTATTAAAGGTTAACTTAACTATGAAAATTTTGGCTTTGATTCCTTCCAATTCAAACAAGTCCTCATTGGGATTTTTTGTAGCACATGATCAAGGCAAACACAGGCCCAGGATACTTTTTTTTTCTTTCGAGAAAACGCAAAAGCTTTGCGTTTCTTTGCATTGAAAAGTGAGAAGTTCAGTTACAGACGTCTGTGGACGCGTGAGTTACAGCGTGATTAGTGTACATCCCATATTTGTGGCAGTACAAGCCGGAGGCCGGGTGCCCCAGCAGCCGCCCAAGGGGAGGCCTCGTCCTTGATCCTATCGAGTAGCGTGTTCATGGATGGTGTTGCGTTGTCGAAGACGCAGCTGTTCCTGTGTTTCCAAACCATCCAAGGCACGAGCAGCGCAACGGACTACACCAGAAACGAAAGAAATTGTCACAAAAAAATACCTACCATCATACCTTATAAGCTCATGGATTCTTTTTAGAAGAGATTGCCGGAAAACCAAAGAGATCTGTAAAGACTAGAATATCACCAAAGAACTAGCCATGGACAGGGGTGCGTGGAATCTAGCTATCCATGTGCCAGAACCATGAGTTGGTTGCGAGATCTTATGGGTTTCAGCTCTAGCCTACCCCAACTTGTTTGGGACTAAAGGCTTTGTTGTTGTTGTTGTTGTTGTTGTTGTTGTTGTTGTTGTTGTTGTTGTTGTTGTTGTTGTTGTATTGCCAGAAAACACCTCTCCTGTTTGTAATAAGTTCCGTGTTTCTCCCAGGCATTTGTGAAATGATAGAGCTTTTGCTTGCAAAAGGAGCTTATGTTGACCCAGTATCTGCTCGTGGAACACCACTTCATGTTGCTGCTGCTGAACGGCATTATGATGCTATGAAGATTTTATTGGACCACAATGCAGATGTAAGTTTAAGTACATACCATTTCTGCCTCAAGTTAACCTACATGTTTTGAACTTTAATTACTTGTATTTTGCAATTTTTCCCTCGGCTGTCTTGTCATGTTCTGTTTAATTGATTGTGTATGGTTGCTTGATGCTGCTATGGTGTTTGTGCTGCATAGTTAACACCTTGAAATCCTCAGTACATCTTTCTTCTCTTCTGCATGCCCCTCGTTGTGTGGTAGTTGTAATGCTACATCTCATCATAGTGTCTTGGTAATAAGTATGCTTCATCCACTTCCCTTTCAAATTTATAGCACTATACTATCAAATGTACAGTGCATTTCGAATATAATTCTATTTTTGGAATGCGAGCACATAATACTGAACATCTTCTCATTTTTGGTCCCTTCAATGCCAATTTCCATGCATAAAACTACTTAATATGATTGCTTTATTTGTACATATTGGCCACAATAGATTAGTCTCTAACTCTCTATCATGTATTGCCATTTGTTTTTGAGTTCTACCTGGAATTTTATGAAGTTTACTAGGTTCCACAACATATTCACACCGTTGTTGACTTCTTGTGTATTTTGTTAATTCCATGGGAGCTGTTTAATTTCCACTGAAGAGGCTTGCTTCGGTTCACGCACCCAATTCTACCTGCATCTGCAAATTCTTCTGCGTGGCAATCCCTCACATAATCTTTCCCTGTCGGCTCATCCATATTCCCATATAAGCTATGGGTGTGACCGTGTGAGGGTGATGTTGCCTCCCAAATCGTTCTCACTGCTGGCCTGATGCATCATCTTCTTCGTTTTCTAGTTGTGGTTCCATATTCAGGTTTTAGTACCTTCTCTTCTTGATGGCTGCATTGCTTTTGTTGGGGTTTGAGATCCTAATGACTGGCCGGTGATGATTAAAAGATCGAATCTTTCTTTAAACAAAACAGTCTGGATCTGTAAACTAGATTGGCTTATGCTCCATTAATACCATGTGGCTGTGAAATTCACATCAGATTGATATGAGCATAAAGGCAGTATACCATGCAATTCTGCTTGCAGATTCCATGTAAACAATCATAAATAAATGATATGCGGTGGTAATCATGGCATTATCTTTGTACTATATATAGGAGCACGTACGTCGGTTCAATGGCATTAGGACCTGATTACCAATATAATCTTGACAAAATAACCTTCTCACTGATTTTACTGTGGGCGTACGAATCAATTTTCTTTGCTGAAAGCTTGCCTCATCAATTTAGTTCTATTTATTGACCATTGGAGCTGATATCTTAATATTTCTCCAGTACAACAAGATGGTAAATGGTGTGACACCTCTTATGGCTGCTACAGATGCCAACTCAACGGAATGTATCAAGCTCCTAGTTAAGGTGTTGTACATTCATCTGAGCTTTGTCAAGTCCATGAATTTAATTTTGTTGGGTACCCATTTTCTATGTTTATTTTCCATACTGAATTTGTTCTTTTTTACTTCCTTTTCTGGCATTTGTTTTTCGTACTGGCTGCGGTTGTGCATGCTGCAATTTGTGACCCCTTGTACCGAACACTTCCGTAACCATTTTTTTGCTGAAAAAACTAGTGGCGCGTTGAGGCTGGGGAGGACATCTGCATATGTGCCATGTTGATATTAATAGTTACCTAAACATGGTACCAGTTTATGACAATTTTGATGGTAATTTTTGTACTCCCTCCATTTTTATATACAAGGTCACTATGGGATATATATTTTGCATCTATACAAGGCTATCAACAGTAATTGAGGCAAAGTGAATGTTATTTTTGCGTACTAACAACCTGTTTAACTTGCATGCATGAAGTCACAATGACAATCAGCTACTTCCTTCACTCAGTTTTTTTGCATGCATGCGGAGTATTAATGATCCCAGTAAACAAGAAGAAAAGTTAACTTGTAAAGTAGGCATTAAATTTTACATTGGTACCTGTAATCCGAATTTGTGGCCTTGTATACAAAAATGGAGGGAGTACTTACAATACTGAGCATGGACGTTAGGAGATTATCATGAGTAGTCGAAATATTATGCTTGTGCAGTCATAGAAATTTGAGAAAAGATACGCTTATGTAATCAAATCCTTTTTCCTCCTTATATTTGCAGCAAAAATTCAGGTAGTTCGTTAAGATATCATGTATCACATGCATCCTGCATAGAATTGATTTAATTGATGTCCTGTAGGTTCAGGAGGAGCCTATGCTTAAACGGGAAATCGCGGCATCAGAGCTTATATCACTAGGGAGTATCTCTTTAAAGAAAAAAGATTATGTTGTCGCAGCAAAATTGTACAGTCAGGTATATTAAAGCACCATATATTTCTTGCTTTTTTTAGCTTTCCAGCATTTCAGTTTACATTGCATGCATTATAATTTATAGTTTCTTGCATAGCTCTCAGTCTGAAAATATTTAAGGTTCCTGGTTTCGCATTAATTGTTGAATGCATAGTCTGAAGTAATATTTTTGGGCAAAAATATACCAGAATACCTGGAGCTCCACATGGAGCTCACTACCGGACTCGCCACCTATGCCGACGGCCCAGGGCCGTCGGCATAGGCCATTTCCCGTCGGCATACATCTATGCCTACGGCTGCCGTCGGCATAGCCCCGTCAGCGTAGATCACGTCAGCGTAGTCTTGTCAGACCGTCGGCATAGTTTAGCCGTCGACATAGGGGCCTATGCCGACGGCTTCCATCTGGCCGTCGGCATAGTTTAGCCGTCGGTAGTGATTTTCACATGATGGCAACAGTCGGCGCCGTCAAAAGCGCTAACGAATCACGGGCCGCCGCGTGGCAGAGGTATGCCTACGGCAAAGCCGTCGGCATAGGTGAAAATCTATGCCGACGGCTTTGCCGTCGGCATATCTCTGCCACGTGGCGGCCTACGGTGACTCCTGGCAGGAGGGTATGCCTACGGCAAAGCCGTCGGCATAGATTTCCACCTATGCCGACGGCTTTGCTGTAGGCATATCCCTGCCACGTGGCAGGCCCTGGGTAGCCCTGTGCATATCTATGCCGACGGTTTAACCGTAGGCATACTTACGAACCAAAACCAAAAAAAATACTAGCCAAAAAGGCTAGCAATTTCCAATCCAATTATAAGACATGATTCAACAACCATGGATTTGCAAACACAGGCCATAAAATATTTTTGATGTACACAACATTTTCATTCTAAGAATCCACTAAAAAAATACTAGCCAAAAAGGCTAGCAATTTCCAATACAATTATAAGACATGATTCAACAACCATGGTTTTGCAAACACAGGCCATAAAATATTTTTGATGTACACAACATTTTCATTCTAAGAATCCACTACAGCATCAAAGGAGAAGGCGGAGGGGCGGTGCCGATGGTGCGGGAGACGGGGTAGCGATGACAGAGGTGGCATGCAGTCAGTATAATGAACCAAAGATCCTACACATAAGGATGAATATGTAATATATACACTGCATCTACCAAAGGGAAATCACCAAAATGTTACAAGAAATACTTCTACCGGGAGGCAAACAAAGATTTTCATTGTAAATGATCTGATGTTCGCACTGCATAGCTGATACAATAGGATTTCTTCACACTATTCAATTACTGGGAAGGATCAATTACACATATCGATGAACTACTAGTACAGGAGTAGCTTGCTGCCAACACTACTAGCTAGCTAGATTAAACACCAACAGCTAACAAAACCTAGCTGCAGTAACCAACAACCACAAATGAGGTAGTACAAGAGCAGAATTTAACAAGTGTGCTACTCTGAATCATCATCACTGTAAATAGGAATGATCTTTCTCATGGCACAAGCACAACAAGCACAAACAAAATCACCCATGCGCATGAAACAGAGCAAGGTACTGCTATAGCAACACAAGAGAGGGAGCTAGAGGTAGGAGATGGACTCACCGGAGAGGAGGTTGTAGTCGATGCCGAACACGACCACGGCCGCAGTCGCGCGGTAGAGGAGGTTGTAGCCGAGTTGGACCATGTGCGGGGTGTCGTCGTGGCGGTGGATGCCCTGGTTGTCGTCATCATCCATGGAGGATGCCTGCTGCTCCGAATCAAATGAACAAGTCAGAGCTAGTGTTGTTGAGCTAGTACAGAAATTAAACAAGCTAGTATAGGAGACACAGGCGTGCTGGTGCTAGTATCTACAGAAATCAATCGAGCTAGCTATGCGTGTGCGTGAGCTAGCTTAGTACGTACAGTACATGGTTGGGCTCCAAAACAAACAGAGAATGCTAGCCTCAACAGAATCAATCACAAGGTTTTTTTTTGTTACTAGCACTGCTAGTTGTATGTGTTGATCCATCCGGACCTAACTAATGTTGTTGTATCTCTAGACCAAGTGCAGCAACACAAGAAGAAGAACTAAAACTGTAGAGCACATATATACATATGACAAACTACAGAACTAGCACTACATTTTGCACGGGACAGAATTAATCATGAATGGTTCTGTCACAGTTGATGCATTTGTTGCCAAAAAGAAAATTTCATCCAAACTACATACGCTGACATGAGCCGGTGTAATTCACACGTAATGGTGCATTAAAAGCAGTACCAAGACAAGTGCATCAGGTGTTCCATTTAGCACAAACACAAACTTCAGTGCTATACAAAAAATACGTACAAGGCTAGTTCACTAGTCATGCAAATTTGCAATATATGCAAACAAGTTTCAATCGATCGACATTATGCAAGATACGCCTAGCCTGGTTGCAGCAACCAACAAGGGCAATCCAAACTGAGAGCTAGCTAGCTAGGAGCAGTGGCGGAGCGTGACCAAATCTCAAGAGGGGGCCGACTTTATATAAGAACACACAATATGCATTAAAAACTCTGCTAAGTTGTACGTAGAACATATGCAAGGAGCCAAGGACAATTAGACGACCATATCATCATAAATAACACAATACAGCAGGTTCACACATACCTGAGCATTGTGGATAGGTAAATTTTGGTGTTCCAAAAGAACAGACCACACCAAATGACCAAAAAAAACTAAACAGAACCAACTAGCACTACTGCCAAGTGCCAACTAGAGATATGCTCTTCTATTCTTCCTACTTTTGAAATCAGCAATCATATCTTCACAAGCAATTTTTGATGCAAATTTCCACTTGCATCTTCCGTCATATCTAATAAGTCGACTAGGTAGACATCAAAGTTACCAGAACATCTCAACTCGTCACAATGACATATAAATTAACACAAGCAGGCAAGCAATGACTAGCAGCAGTGGTGACAAGAACATCTAAAATCTGCACCTAGCAATAAGCTGAGAGGAGGTCAGGAGGAGTGGACGCAGACGCGCAGTGCCGAACTACCGGTGTCATTGTGGCCGGTGGGCGCGCCGCATTCAAAATTCAGTCAAGCATGTGTATAAGTAAAAAATGCAGAGCAGAGCAGAGCAGCAGCAAATTGAGAGCAAGCCTAGGAAATCGAGGAGGACAAGGGAGTCATGGAGGGGAAGGAAAACCTCTCGCTTGAGGTTGGGTGTCGTTCCAAGAGAGAGGATGCACGCGGGGGAAGCAGGACTCCTCCTCTCCCTCGTCCCTGCGTCGAGTTGCTGCTACTGCTGCGTGTGGGTGAGGAAGGTAGGCACATCAGGGAAGGGTAGGGGAACAGATCGAATAGGAGAGGGAGGGGCTGACCTTGATGGCATCGGAGAAGGGCTGGAGCAGCGTCGTCCATGGCCTTCCCTTTGCTGCTCCAGCGCAAGCGAAACGACGGCGACATTGGCGTGCTCGATCTGGGAGGGAGAGGATACAGGTGAGTAAGAGAGGGTGGGTTGCGAGGGATCTCGACGGAGAGATGTACCTGAGCCGCCGGAGCCACGCCGGCGACGCGGTGGCCGAAACCCTAGCTTACGGGATGGTCGCGGGTGACCGGTAGAGGACGCGAGCGACGAATCTGCTCGGAAGGGAAGACGGAGCGGACGGAGGCGATCATGCGAGTGTGCTTGGCGTCGTCGGCAGCAGCCGGAATTGCCGGAAGCTGCCGGAATCGCCGGGTGGGCGGCGGCGGCGGAGAAGGGTCGCGGGGAGAGAGAGAGGTCGAGGTGGGGAGTGGTGCGGCTCTGTTGGGTCTTGGGTGGGCTCTCTCTCGCTTCTTTTCCTCTTTTTTTTTAATTTTGGTGGGTGGGAGGGAAGCGGGCTGAGTGGCGCGGGAAGGCCCAAAATTTCATTTGATTTTGTATCGTGTGTGCGTGTGTTTTCTTTTTCTTCTTTTCTTTTTGGAGGTGCAGAGGAGCGTGGGGCCAGCCATCCACGTTACCGATCCGCGTGACCGGGTGGTCACCCAATAGGAAGTCTTCATTTTTCTGTGCTTCTTTACGTGTTTGTTTTGCTAGATTTATTAGAGTTTTTTATGAAATCTTTTCAAACTTTTTCCACACCCTCTACGAATCACAAACCAATATTCTGCCAAATTTCATGTTTTCTCCAAAAAAAATGAATTTTTTAGAATTAAAAAATTGATAAACTCATTTTGCCTACAGTCATTTGAGAAACTGTACGCAAAGTGATTTGTTAAATCATATATGATCGCAGGGGCCCGTCGTGGCCTCTGCGGGGGTGGTCTACAGCGGTGTTGTTGCGGCCATGGTGGTCGACCGATCTGCACGCGGCGACAGCAAGTCTCTCCGGCGGCGGTTTGTCTGCATCAGGCTCGGGTGAGGCGTCTTCCTTCATGGCTGATACAGGTACGAGTCTCGGCTGGTTGGGGCACCCGTTGTTCCGATCTGGTGGCTCTGCCCGCTGCTCATGGGGGCGGGCCGGAGGTGCTGGCCTACAGGGGATCTTGGCGGAGGGCGGCAGGGGTGCCCCCGTCTGCGCCGACGTCGTCTCGTGCGTCGCGCAGCTACAGGCCCCACCACCGGGGGAGAATGTGTAGGTACCGTCCAACCAAAGGAGGAGCAGGCCCCACCACCGGGGGGGCGAATGTACGTCGGCGGCATGCCGGATCTAGCCGTTAAAATCCACGGCAAACCATACGATGCCGGAAATCCTTGGAACCTCGCACGGTGTCGTCATATGGCCCTTGTAGGGTGCGGTGAAAGTTTTAGCGCATTTCGCAGAAACCTAACCTGAGGTCGCTTGTAAACTGCACCATCTCCGGCGTAGTATCTGGCTAACGAGAGAGAACGTGCCCGGTTTGTGAAGGAAGTGTGTTGCCCGTTGCTCTGTTGACCTCAAAACTTCTCGTGCTCTCAAAGGGGGCCATTGCATGACACGTGACAGTACATGGCATTTTTCGGGCCCACTTGCAATATTTGAGACATTTACTGCATCTGTA